AAACAAATTTTCTCTCAATGAAAGCCCAATCATCCAAGCCCAAAGAAGAAGGAGTCCATTCCCTTAAAACAAGACCCAACATACAAAGTTCGGTAAATATTAATTTAATTGGATTTTTAGAGCCCGACAAATATAGATAAATTTAATTAACAATCAATTTAATATTAAATGAAAAATCTCCTGTTTCGAGACCAACTAACCTGAGGGACTCGGGGCGTTACAGTAGGTGTGCTTCTCCTCGCCCCGGATGGCATTCGTTTTGAGTACGCCCTTCGCTTCAACTTTCGTACCTCAAACAGTGAGGCCGAGTACGAAGCCCTGTTGGCTGGACTGCGCATGGCAAGGGAACTTGGAGCCAGCCAGCTTCAAATTTTCAGTGTTTCACAGCTGATAGTGAATTAGATTAAAGAAGAGTATCAGACAAAAGACCCTTGGATGGAGAAATACCTGGGAAAGGTCAGGTCGCACCTCGCCCATTTTCAAGCTTTCGAAATCAGCTAGATTCCGAGGTCACAAAACTCCAATGGCGATGCCTTGGCCAAATTAGCATCTGCCTACGAGACCGACCTGGCGAGATTGGTCCCAGTGGAAATCTTGGACAACCATCCATTTTGGAGCCGAATATGATGAAGTTGACTCCCAGCCTCCGTTAAAGAATCCTAGCAGCGAACATGCTTTAAAATGTCGACAACAGGGAGAAGCTTCATATCAAAATAGCGAAAATCGGGGTTAAACATATATGAAAAAATGGGGAAGACATAATATGCATTTATTGAATCCCAACCTATACTCTTGCAAGAAATCATTCATTAATGTCCAACCCGACATCGTTCCCTTCCGAGATACCCAAACATGGATACCCACCACTCCCGTTGTTAAATACCCAAGCAATAGACACAAGTTTTACGCATGATTAGGGGACTTAATTCTTGAGTATCCACGACCCTACTAGAAAATAGGTAGCTAATTACAAATAGAGCAAGTCAGCTACCCATAAACCTTTCCAGGTCATACAAAAGCTAGCATACAAAACAAGGTGACCAACAATGTTCAGTAAGGTTAAAGAAATATGCACAGCTCTATTTAATAACAAATGAAAATCAAATAGAGTTCAGTTGTACAATAGTTACAGCACGCAAATCTCCCAAAAAATAGGGTTTAGCTCATGGAGAGGTAGAAAATGAAATGGGTAAAGAAATGTTACGACCCATTTTAGAGAAAACAGAAGAAAACCGAAGATGGAGTCAACAGCTTGTAGCAGCAGCCGAATATCCTTCTCTGTCGTCAACTCTCTCCCGAAAATGGTGATAGACCTCCCCAAAAATGGTAAGATTCTTCTCCCTTGTCTTTTCCAATACCAAGGAATGTTCTCTATTGGGATCTGTGTGTGTCGGCTAGGGTATACTGTCCATTTTATATTGGGTGCACCCAGCTGGAAATTGTATGCGCATGGTAAGTTATCCCCTGTTTGGGATAGTTACTGCGCTGTAATTCCATGCTCCAGCGATTATTTCCTCCATCTCTATTCTGCTCTGTCTTGATCATGCTTCATCCACTATTTTCTGGGCTCAACACTTTCTTTATGCCTTGTCTTCAACTCTCTCCCAAAAATGGTGACAGACCTCCCCAAAAATGGTGAGATACTTCTCCCTTGTCTTTTCCAATATCAAAGAATGTTCTCTATTGGGATATGTGTATGTGGGCTAGGGTATATTGTCCTGTTTATATTGGGTCCCAATTTTAGGGCACCCAGTTGGAGATTGTACGGCCATGGTAAGTTATCCCGTGTTTGGGACAGTTACTGTAAATCCATGCTCCAGCGATTATTTGCTCCATCTCTATTTTGCTTTGTCTTGATCATGCTTCTTCAACTATTTTCTAGGTTCAACAATTTCTTTATGCCCTGTCTTCCTTTTCAAAACCTGTGCATACAAGCCAATAATAAGAGAATTCAACACAAATTTAAGCTAAAGCGTTCAAGACACGAGCCTTTCGCTTGGAATTAAAATTCTAGGATTATTCATGATGTTAAGAGCTAAAGTAGACTCACATTGACATTCTTTTGTATAAAATTACTGAAATAATTACTAGAATAATTCTCTTTTGGAGAGTTATTAATGTATAATAAGAGTGATTGATTAGTCTTATAGTCATCACGGAGATTGTGGATGAATCCTCAGGTTGAACAAAAAGTGCTTGAAGGCAAGCAAGATGATCTATATCAAATAATATAATATAAATTATATTTAATTCAAATAGCATAAGTTAATAATATAATCTAAAACAAATTTGAGCAAAAATCATCTTTTAGTGGTTGACTAGTGTTCACTTTAAATCGTTTTTTAATTTTCTCAAAACAATTTACGCATAATAGCCAAAAATGAGATGAGACTTCAAAAACTATAATCCTACCAACTGGTAGTCTTGCTGGTA